GTCGTATTTCAGCCTGGGCAATACGCAACACGAGCCGCGTCGTGTCTCGAGCAGCCATCGGAGTGATAGCGGTGGGAGTGAGACGCTCACGCACATGCTTTCTGCCTTCTCGCTGAACGACCACGAGGCAGGGATGCCAATGTCTAGCATGAAACCGCCGCACGATGAGGAAGGAATCATTTCAGCTTCTCCCGAGATGGCTTCGCTGAACATGGCCGCGTCCAAGGTCGGTGCAGAAGCTCATGCAAAATCACCGCCGCAGCAACCAAGCATGATGCCTCCGGCCATGGCACTTTTCGACCCCGAGGACACGAACCGTCGCTTCGTCGGCACGCCTGACTACTTGGCGCCCGAGACCATCAAGGGCGACAAGCAAGACGAGACGAGCGATTGGTGGTCTGTCGGCTGCATCCTCTTTGAGTTCCTATATGGCATACCGCCCTTCCACGCGGGCGAGGCGGAACATGTATTCGAAAACATCCTTGCCCGGAAGATCATGTGGCCACCCGAGGACCCCGACGAGCCCGTCTCTGAGGAGGCAAAGGATCTCATCAACAAGCTCCTGTGCATGGACCCACAGGAACGTCTCGGTGCCAACAAAGACGACAAGTTTGCCTCTGGTGGAGAGGAGATCCGAGCCCACCCCTGGTTCAGCACCTTGAGCTGGGATACACTTCTCGAGGACGAGCCGCAGTTCGTGCCCCAACCTGAGAACCCCGAGGACACGGAATACTTTGACCCTCGCGGCGCGAGTCTGCAGGCATTCACAGAGGAATTGGAGGAGCACATGTCGCCTCAGTCGTCCAGCGCCGGCGGCGGCGGGGGTGGCTCTGACTATGCCGACCGACCACACGATGCCCTCTCGCGAGTGCGATCCCAGGTGAACCAGATCCACCGCAAGCTGATGCCGCTGCACATCCCACCGCACGTCCGGAACTCCAAGTCGAGGCGGCTCAGCGAGCCGTTGCAGACGGATGACTTTGGGTCGTTTGCCTTTAAGAACCTGTCCGCGCTGGGCAAGGCAAACAAGGATCTGATCGAGAAGCTGCGGGCCGAGGCTGTCGCCTCGCAAAGCAAAGCAGCCGCCTCCGCCACGAATAACAGTGGTACCAGAGGCGAATCGCCGGCGCCGTCGGTCGAGGGCAGCCCCGTGGTAGCCAACCCAGTGCAGCGGACCATTTCCAATGCCAAAGCAGCCAACCGACCGCAGTCGCCATCTGGCTACGGGCACTCCAACGCCTCGCCGAGTCGCGTGTCTCAGCCGTCCTCGCCGCTGCTGGTCAGCTTCGTCGCGGGACAGGGCACCGAGGGGCGCCGGAAAGCCTCGAGCAATTCCTCGAGCCTCTCGCACCAGTCCACCTCGAACCTACAGCCTCCTACAAACATTGAGATCCCCAAGGTGCCGCCGAGCCTGCAAAAGGCGGCGACGTCGCTTGCTTCCTCCCCGATCAAGGGCAAGGGCTCTGCTGCGCCGCCTCCGCCCCTTTCGTTGCCGCCGCAGAAGCTGGTGGCGACGCCCAGCAAGACCACTCATACGCCATCAACCAGCCGGTCGAGGTCGCTGACTGTGGGCTCTCAAGAAGGGAGCCCCGTGGCAGCGGATGCCCTGCACCGCCATCGCAGCCGCCGCAGCCAAGTCTTTGACATGTCACCCTCGTCGTCTGACAACGAGGGCGAGAAGCACAATGCCTTGCTACGAGTGCAGCGCCGTCGTCAAAGCTCACGCCGGCTTTCGCAGATTGCGTTTGACGGGGGCCCCAGCTTCCGACCTCTAAATGTGCTCATCTGCGAAGACCATCCCGTGGCGCGCATGGTCATGGAGAAGCTGCTGGAGAAGATGCGCTGCCGCACCATCTCCGTGCCTAACGGGTCCGAGGCTGTGCGGTACTCGATGAGCGAGATCCAGTTCGATGTCATCTTCCTCGAGTTCAAGCTGCCCCAGATCAACGGGACGGACGTGGCGCGCATGATCCGCGAGACCAAGAACGCCAACTCGCACACACCGATTGTCGCCATCACGGCGTACCTCAAGGAGCTCCAGGCGCCACACTACTTTGACTCGCTCATCGAGAAGCCCATCAGCTCGTCCAAGCTGACCGAGGTACTACGTGGTCTGTGTCACTGGCGACCGGACTCTCCTGGCCAAGCCCCGTCCTCTGGCACGATGCCACCGCCACCATCGCAGCAGCAGCAACAGCAACAGCAACAGCAACAGCAACAGCAACAGCCAGCTTCTTCAGGACTGCGGAGGGCTACCACAACACGAACGGATGATGTGTCTGGCTCAAGCTCTTCCACGCTTCATCGCCAAGGATCATCTGTGCTGTCGTCCGTGGTCACCAGCCGCGAGGACTCATTCAGCGCGAGTACGGTCTGCGATTCCGAATCAGCGACGACCGACGATCCTCTGCAGGCCCCAAGCCGGAAGGGCACCGGAGATTGGGACGATGGTGGGCTGGGCATCACCGAGCAGGGCGCCGTCTCCGAGGGCGTCCAAAGAATCCCGCAGCTCACACTCCAGCGCTCCGCGCCCCCTCAGCTGGAGCGAGCGACTCGACCGGCCGACAAGCTGGAGCCCAAGAAGGACGAGTCGGATAGGGGTGTCGCCGAGAGCATGGAATCTGCGGACGACGAGGACGAGGAGCTGGGACAGGTGCAGGTGCGGGATCGACAACCTCGACGGAGCAACGGGCCTCAGATGGGTGGCAAGTCATCGCTACCGAGCTCCAAGCTGGGTGTCGAGATGATGCGCGCCAACAGCCACGACAGCGCCATTGAATCCGAGAGCACGCCGGAGGCGGTGACCCAGGTCATGACGACCCCGTGCCACGAGATGGAGAGCATGAATCTGGAATCGACAGACGCACCTGGAGCAGGACCATTGCCAGAGCAGAAGACGCCTCCACCACAGCAGAGCAAGGTGGCGGCGTCTGAATCTGACCTCGAGGGGAGCGGGCCGCCTGCGGACAGCATGGACGCGACACCACGACCGCAGGGTCCAAACCGCTCCAGTAGCACTGCAGAAGCGTCCGCGGAGGACGACGCGACGCCGCGTGCGGCTACCAAGTGAGCAATATCACTGCCGCCACGCCAGCTGTATGCAGTTCCCCCCCCTTTTATTCACTCATACCACTCTCATTTGTTTATTTATCACGACATGACAGCGCGGCGTTTCTAGGGTTTCAGCAACAGCACATAGCAGCAAAGTGGGCGGACCTTTTCCATGAGGAAAATGCGTTCTCAAGTGGAAGCTATTTTTTTTTTACTTTTTTTTATTTTTCCAGGGTCCAGGGGACAGACGAAAAGATGGATGCCTCTGCCATTGCGGACTGGCGCGTCCATGGGCAGGATGGGAGGCCTACGAAGGAGAGCACCGCCGTCGTCACTGGTCGGACATTGTATCATAAGCGCGTAGACGCGAAGCTATAGCTGTGACAGCATACAGACATTTACATTACGACTTCTCTTCACTTTCACTGACGGTCATCGTATCGGATTACGCGGGTGACGGCACGTGTCTGGGTGACCCGGGAATACGGCTACTTAGTCCGGTAGTGAATGAAGTTGTGCTCACACAGTCACGTAGAGGTACTGCAATCTGGTAACTAGGCTTTCGATTGGGGCGCACGACATCCGTGGCTCGCCTTGATCAGTCGGCTCGGGCGAGGGAGGGTTTAGGCACCAGATGGAAATTGAAAAAAAAAACCAAAAGAAAAACCAAATGCACTTGTGATGATCTGGCCGGCGACCCGACTATGCCATCGTGAGAGCGCATTGCTTCAGATCGGCAACAATGTGAGGAGGCTGTGCGTAGGTACGTAGGTACATAGGTATGCGTGTGGTACTGGTTACTCCGTAGACGCATACCGTTTTACTTGCATTCGCATTGTGTGCATATCCTAGTACACGTACAAGAAGAACTGTCAACTGATCCCCATAATTCGATGCAGAGTTCTCGGCAAAAAGTGCCGGGGCTGGTCTTGGCGAGCGGGACGACTCGGTCAGCTCACGCGATCAGTTTCCTATTCGAGAGAGCCGGGCTTGGTTCTGTCCAACGACGAGCATTGTCCTCCCATGGCCACCATCTCGGATCTAGCCCGCCCTCGTTTCCGAGTGAATGAAGAGATGCTTCTTTTTAGGCACGTATTTTATATTCTACCAGTTTGTGCTGTTGTCTCCTCAAGTGTCTTGCCGCTTCCTGAGGAACGAGGATGACGAAACGAGACTAGTCGATCCGACGTTCCGGCACGCGCAGTCTGCTATGTGTGCCAGTGCATACCGAACGTACAGAGTAGGTACGTGGGCAGATCCGCCTGCCGTCTGTTCCGTTCCGTGAGGCGCCACCTGCTAACGTACCTAGGTAGCCTAGGCTGTTTGTTGGCCTCCCGCGCGGCCCTCTGCGAGGTCCATAGTAAAACCTTCGCAGAGCCCTCCCCCCATCGACCCCGTCCGCGCCTGTCGTCCACAAGAACGAGCACGGTGTTGAATGCAGCATTGTGACTGGCCGTTGCGAGGCATCGCGAGTTTGGCTTTTTCTTCCCCATTGCTAGCTAGGTATGCGACGACTCGACTCGGCGTCGACGAAGACGACGACGAGTCCTCCACATGTGTGTATAGTATATAGGTAGTCGACATGCTTGTCTGCTGGGTCTGGAATGTTGTCCTTGTCTGGATTGCCTGAGCCCAATAGCACCTCCGTCTCCTGCCCTCCTTCCTGTCGTGAAGTGAAAGGGTCCAGTCTTCTTGCCTCTCCAACAGAAGACAATATCAACGTGCGCCTTCCACAACACCAACAAGTCTGCTCGCTAGCCAGACAGGAGGCTTCTTGTCGACCTCGGCTCGCCCACCCATCCGCCCACTTTCAGAAAAACCCCTTTCAAGCACGAAAGAAAGAACTTGACAGTTTTCAAGGGCTTTCTCCTTCTCAGGGGCACAAGGCTGCTTGCGACAGGCACTCTGACACACACACATACAGTCGCACACATAGCAGCATATACACCATGGCGGGGGACCACACTCATGCAGGCGCGCACAACCACCACCATCATCACTCCGTGATCCTGGGCGAAATACCCGTTCCCCACGGACCTGTCGCTGACGGGGAGAGCGACGACAGCTCTTCCGACCAGCAGCACAGCCAGCAGGACGACGCGCACGACGTCCTCGCAGGCACCAATGCCCACGAGCGCCGCATCTTCAGCCATGTCACCCGCCCGGATGACAGCTACGACGCTGACGGCACCTACTGGGCCGACATGCCCCTCGCACGCCGCGCCCGCTTCGTCGCCAAGGTCGATGCCGCTGCCGCGCACGAGGAGCTCTCCACCATCGGCGGCATGGTGAAGAAGGACCCGCTGTCCCCTGCTGCCTGGTACCTCCGCAACGCCATCCTGCCCGGTGCCGGTCTGGGTCTCGAGGGGTACGTTCTCTTCTCCATTGGCAACCTCGAGCCGCTGTTTGCCAAGGTGTGGCCGGCCTGCTGGGAGAGCAACGAGGTCTGCTCCAAGAACTGGGTCGCCAGTGTCACCTACCTCGAGATCATCGGCATCATGGTCGGCCAGGCCGCCGTCGGCGTCATCGGCGACTGGGTCGGTCGTCGCTGGGGCCTGATCCAGGACGCTCTCATCATGTTCATCGGTCTCCTCATGCTCACCGCCAGCTGGGGCCTGACGCTCCAGGGCTGGGTCATCTGCTACGCCTGGTCCCTCTTCTTCTACGGTCTGGGTGTCGGCGGCGAGTACCCCATCACCGCCACCTCGTCCCTCGAGAATGCCGTCGCCTCGGGCAAGCTGTCCACGCGCGAGGATCGCCTGCACCGCGGTCGCCGCGTCACCACCGCCTTCCTCATGCAGGGCTGGGGCCAGTTCGTCAACCAGGTCGTCCTCCTCGTCCTCCTCGTCATCTTCAACTCCGGCGACGGCGGCCCGCCCTACTCCCAGTCGGCGGCCCAGTACGCCTTCCGCCTGTCCTTTGCCTTCCCCGCCGTCGGCACCCTCTGGCTCGTCTACTACCGTACCTGGAAGATGCCCAACGCCAGCAAGAAGCTCGCCGAGGCCAAGTCGCGCCGCAAGGTCACCGGCTACGACGTCAACTCCCTCAAGTACTGCTTCAGGCACTTTGGCGGCCGCCTGCTCGCCACCGCCGGCACCTGGTTCTGCAACGACGTCTTCTTCTACGGCAACAAGCTCTTCCAGGGCCAGTTCATCAAGGTCATCTCCAGCAATCCAGACTCCCTCATGACCACCTGGACCTGGAACCTCGTCAACATCACCGTCTCCCTGGCTGGCTACTACCTCGCCGCCCTCCTCATCGACAACAAGTTCTACGGCCGCAAGATGATGCAGCAGGTCGGCTTCTTCATGTGCTTCCTCATGTTCGTCATCCCCGCCTTCAACTTTGAGTACTACACCTCCCCGGCCGGCATCCACGCCTTCCAGGCCATGTACTTTCTCAGCTCCTTCTTCAACCAGTTCGGCCCCAACTCGGTCACCTTCCTCGTCGCCGGCGAGGTCTTCCCCACGCCCGTCCGCGCCACCGCCCACGGCTTCAGCGCCTGCTTCGGCAAGGCCGGCGCCCTGCTCGCCAGCGTCCTCTACAACTACATTGACAATCAGACCAAGTTCTACGTCGTCCCCTGGTTCGGCCTCGCCGGCATGCTCCTCACCCTCCTCTTCCTCCCCGACACCACCGGCCTCGACCTCAAGGAGCAGGAGCGCCGCTGGAGCTACATTGTCAGGGGCAAGAGCCACGAGTACCACGGCGTCGCCGTCCACCCCCAGCACTTGTCCCTCTGGGAGCGCCTCCGCGGCCAGGGCAAGAACTATCACGCCGAGAAGGACTGGCGGGCCAAAATTGACGACATGCGCAAGGAGTGGGAGGACGTCCGCGAGGCCATGGGCCCCAAGGAGCACGGCAACGGAGACCACACGACCAGCGGCATGCCCGACGACGGCGAGTTCTCCCCCGAGATCCACGACTACTTTGTGCGCTCTAGTCCCAAGGGCCCTCGTCCGGGTTCCCAAGGTGTCCTGAATGAAAAGGCTTCGTCTGGCGGGACCAGCAGTCAATAAGGTTGCGGTAGAGATTTTTGTATAGTTTAACGCATAGATAGAGCAACGAGAAGAAAGAAAAAAAAGAGAGAGAAGATACCCATCATGTTTATGATATATATTCATTGCGCCTTTCTGCAGCCCGTGAGGGTCTAGGCAGTGTGATGATCTCGACAGGCAAAAGAAAATGCCGAGCAGAGAGCTCCGCATGGAGGTGTGTGTACACGCAAAGGCATAAACTAGGTCCGTGAATCGCACAACGCCATTCCTCCCAGTGGTATCAAGGGTGATCCCCAGCGGAGAAAAAGGGGAGCCAAAGTAAACAAAAGTCAAGACCAGAAAAAGGGGCTACGGCCCCCAGCCGTGGTCCGTCCAAACAAAGTGTGGTATCTACTAGTAACGCAGCGTATACCGCCACGTGTGCCTGATGTGATGATGCGAAAGCTTAGAAGGAATCAAGTCCGCCAATCTACCTCCTCTGGTGGTGCCCGCCGGTTACTGCTCGTCGGTGTCGGTAGCTCGTTCATGCGGCGCGTGGAATATGGTTCAGGTTGTGGAGGCTGGTACGGCGGTTGGTGAGGCGTCGGTATCTTCTGCTGCGACTGGGGGACAATGGCACTCAGCACACAGTCGTCGAGATGCTCATAAAAGTCCTGCGCGCTGGCGAACCGCGTCTGGCAGATGGAGCACAGGGCGCCGCCAACCGCAACGTCCACAGGTGCGGACGGGGCCGTGGCCGTGACGACCCCCGACTCCCCAAAGAAAAAGTTGCGCGTGTTGGGCGGTGTCTGCTCTACATTGTGTGCCGACGTCAGGTGCCGCTTAAACACATCGGCTCGATTGAACGTCTTCTCGTACGCGGTGCCCACGCCCGCGCAAAAGGGACACGCCATGGTGCCCTTGTAGTGCGTCAGGGCGTGGCGGTTCTTGTCGTACTTACGCGCGAAGCCCTTTGTGTGATACTCGCACGACTCGATAGGGCACTTCTCCGGCCGTTCTTCCTGGTGTGTCAGGAGATGGGCTGCGAGATCTTTGAAGATGCGGCCGCAGTCGGGGAAAGGGCAGCGGTTACGATGATCACCAGCGGCCGACCATGTCGACGGACTGGCCTGAATGGCACTCCACGGACCGTCCGTAGCAGGCGAGACTAGCTGATAGGCCGACAACGACGACGACGACTGGCCAAACCCCGTGCGTGTGGTATCCAACATTGATGTCCCGCCGGGGCCGTAGAAGTCACTTGCCGGCGTAGGGGCTTTTGTGTCCTCATCATCACCACCACTGGACGACTCATCGTCTTGCGGATGGTCAGAGCGATGATGCACCTCGTGCATCCATTCGCGAAGGACAGTCATCGAAGGCCAGTCGCCACTTGCCTTACCTCCCTTGTGAGGGTTAAAGTGAGCACGCCGTAAATGGGCCGCCGCATTGTAATAGGCTCCGTACTGCTTCCGCATCAAGCAGGCCTTGCACTTTGACAGGGCAATCACAGGCTGGGGGGCGTTGGGAACCTGGCTTGCCGGTTCCTTGCATACATATCGCTTGACGAGCTTGGCGTGTTTAGCATCAGTGTGCCGCCGCAACTCGTGCTCCCCTCTGAATCCTTCCGGATGCTCGTTGCATTTTGTGCAAAATACACGTCGTACTGGCATTCTTTGATATGCCTTGAATCGCGAGGGTGCCATGGGCGTGTTGATTAGGTGCTGCGCTCGTTGCGGAAACAGGGGGGGTTCGGCGAGTGTATGCCGACGATTCCTCCCATGCACCTGAGAGCGAGGCGACTTGAGTGCATCTCCAGGGTCATGAGGTGACTGCTCGGTCTTGGCTTCAACTGGCGAATTCCACGAGACGCCTGGCTTAAACAAGCTTCCGACCCGTGGCGTTTCGCCGCCGGGTTCTACAGCCGAACGGAGCTGATCCGAGTGCAGCTCAACCCGGCTGTGGCGAGGCCTGATAAAACCGAGGAAACTGGTATTGTCACGGTCAGTGCCACCGAGACTCATCAAGAAGTCGAAGCTGGACTGCATGCCCCTAGCTCGCCACATCTCCCTCCTCGTCACCTGGTTGGTTGCGTCAAGAATGGACATGTCCTCCTCACTCGCATTATTGGCCAGTCTGTCCATAGGAGCAGGACCAGAAGCGGCAAAATAATCCACGACAGCTTTGTAAGCACTGTGCATAGTGCGGATACCATGCTCAGTGGTCGTTCCCGTGGACCGACGGAGCGGCGGCGCCGAAAGCATGGCCATGTCCGCTAGGATAGTCCGCACCACGCTGAAAATGCACAGCGAGTGGAAGAATGCGAGCCACTCTCTGACGCGAAGGCTGCTCTTCACCGACAGTGTTGCTTCGAATACCTGAAGGTAACGGGCAAGGCAGTCCTGAACTAACCGGAGTTGCTCGTCCGAGTCGATCTCTTCAGGCGGGTGCATGCGCTGATGGTTCAGATCGATTTCGATTGCTGGCTTATTCTGCACAATGTCGAGAAAGACCACCTCCCTGAGCAGGAGCTTAGCCCTGTACAGTACGGGGTAGGTCGCCTCCTCGGCCGTTCTGGTGGCGGACAGGAAGCCCGTGATGTTGAGCAGTTCCAGCAAATCATACGTCGTGTCTTGGCAATTGTAACTGGACGCCAGTGCGACGAGGATTGGCGGTGCAGAATAAGACGTATCGCGGCTCGAGTCGCTCGCATGGAGGATGGAGCTTGGTCGTTGGTCCAGTTGCCCGGACCACCAAAAGTTGTCCTTGAAGTCGAGAACTTCCTTGACAACATCCATGGTGTTATCTGAAAATGCGTACATTCTCTGAAGATAGTCATTGGCGGTGCGTCGTTGGGCCAGTGGTGATGTTACCGGTGTCCTAGTCTGTCTGGGCGAGACGGGAGCAGGCATGAACACGTCCACCAGAGAGGCGATCGAGCCTCCATAACAGCCCAGAGCTTTCCAGTGCTCCTCAGACCTCGATGGCGGATGCTCCGAACAGTAATTACAAGGACGACCAGCATCACAAGCTCTATGCGACACTTTGCACCGAAGACAAGGGTCATGTTCGCGTAGTAGTTGGAGCTCGCCAATAGACTGAAGCCGTGAGTGCCCGACTCTGCTCCTCTTGAGAGGTGGGAGCAAAGGGTCAAGATCCAGCTCAACTGATGCAGCTCTGGTGGGAGGGAGGCTGCTCGGAAGGTTGAAGCCAATCGCAGAGCCCCGTCTGCTGGCAGGCTGTGTTTGCACGCTGAGCACAGGTTGTGCCACTGGTCCCTGCACGCCCGGTCGCTGCAGCTTGGTTGGTGAGAAGACGCCGGTACTGTCGGCAGAATTCGGTGGTATTATGCCTGGCTGCTTTGGCACGAGGGGAGGCGTGTTGATGAGCGACAGGCCTGAATCGCGCTTAGTAAAGTACCCCCCTGAGTGGGCGCGCATATGTGCGTCGCGCTCAGTCTGGTCGGTGAATCCATAAACATAGTGGACACAGCGCTCGTTCCAACACCTGAATACAGAGAATGACCCTGAACCTTGGTGGGTGGGCGGAGCAATCGTAGATGGCTCGGGATTGTCATGACAGGACCGAGTGGTGCCCTGGCGGATGAAGGGGTCGTGAAGCTCAACATGCTTCCTCAACCAGCTGTCGAATCCCCGGGGTCCGTGCGACGAAGACGACTGGAGTGCCTCCAAGATATCAATATCAGCTAGACGCAAGGGTCAGCGTCTGTGGGGATGAAAGCAAGAGCTCAAGCCTACCGTCCTGGCTGCATGCGGCCTCGAGACACTCGCAACGGTATTGCAGTGCTCGCGCTCCCTCAGCCTCGGAGAGAATGGGAACTTGAGAGTTCAAGCCTGGATAACGATTAGCATTTTCTGATCTAACGCAGAGAGTATCCGGTGTGAGAGCGGGCGCGTGTGCTGTTTGGCACTGTCCCAATACTCTCACGCGTGCGCGCCGAAATCCCAGGTCAAGCGGATAGGCACTCACCGTGATGATGGGCAACATTCTCTAATACTCGAGACTTATGCATAAGCATCTGAAGCTCGTGGGTGGGATCGAAGCCATTCTGAGTTATGAGGAGAGCGTTGAGGTGAGACTGGATGTCCGCCTGCTGGTTGAGCAGTTGTCGAACTGCCGCGTCGATGTCTGCGGGTTCACTCAGCTGTTGCCGGTCCTCGGTCGTGTTAAATGTTGCGGTTGAAACAGAAAGCGACGTTGAGGTCGCATTGCTGAGCGTTGCCTGGTGAGCATGTCGTCGGCCTGGTGCGGGGGGTGAATAGACGCGTGCTGGAGGCAGAGGAGTTGTTGAGGCTGGCACCGAAATTGAGGCTGGCACCTGAGCCGCCGGCGGTGAGGTCGCCGTCGCTGCAGCATATGCGGCTGACGTCTCAGCTGGCTGTGTAACTGAGACTGTGTATGCCGTCACTGATGTCGACGAGGAGGATTCAGGCGGTGCCGTGGCTGCGGGGGATCCGGACGTGGGATTCAACGAGGGCATGCTCACGCTTCCTCCAGCGCTGGACGGTCCCTTAGCGCTTGCGGGGGCAGCAGGATCCTCCTGCACTCGAGGAACCTCTCCCGCCGGGAAGGGTGGCATTTAAGACGGCCTCTCCTCCTCTTCTTCTCGCGCTTGCGACGACCTCTTTGTGTTTCGCGCGCTCCGTTGGTCGTATTGTTGGCGCTTGACTGAGCTTGCCGGTGGCATAGGTGAGAATTTCTTCGACCAACAACACGAATCAGCCCAAGCATCGCCAGACAGCAACGACGATTGCCACTGCAGCCACTGCCGGGCGAAGCTCTGGAAAAGCACGACACTGATACCGATATCAGTCGCGGGTCACTATCCATCAGGCCGTCCCGGCGAGGGAACGGTAACGGAGGAGAATCAAAACGAGGAGAGCGTGTAAATGGAGTCTTGTGGACAAGACTATGATAGATATGAAATTTCCAAACTTCGGATACTGCGAGGGACGGTGCGAGTGTATGTGCAGGAGTCGGGACATGAGCGAACTGAGTCCAGAAAAAGGCAAAGCACCGTGGGTGGGAGCACAGCCTAGGCCGGGGGAAAGCAATGGTATATCAGATTTGATTGTTGCTTGGACTGACCAAAGGACGATGATCATGAAATAACTCGCCAGTTCAGTAGAGTGGTGCATGTCGCTTTGTTCGCCTTCCCATCGGCGGTAGCATTGGCATCTGAGCTTACCAGCCGGGGGCCAGAAACAGCATGCCTGATGAAAAGGGAATGGTGTCCGATGCCCGATGCCCTTGTGGAAAAGGCGTCTCTCTTTTGCTTGTTCTAGGGTGGGTGCGGTTTCCACGGGACCTTGCTCAACAGGGCCTGCAAAGTGCTTGTCGCGCTGGGGATGGTTGTAAAGATCCCAGCAATGTTGCGAGTCGAAGTCGCCTCCCCCTCACCCGTCTATCCAAACGACCGGGAGAGGGCGCGGCGACATGTCTCTTTTCTTTGCTTGTGTCTGCGGGCGCCACGCTCTACGAGGACTCATGGAGTCTGCATGAGCAGCTGCTGTGGCTTCGCGACCCGACAGTACCTACCTAGCCTTGCGGCCCTTGCCTGACTGATGGGCAGTGTAGTGTGTGAGGGTCCAATTCAGGGTCCAGTGGTGTTCAATAAAGGTGGGTCAGCGGGGTGAGGGCTTCAGCCTGCAGCGGGAAAGATTAGATACGCGAATCAGAAGGAGCATGTAACGACCACGTACCTCTTGGCTGAGAGCCCAGGCTCGCGGGGATGGTCGCTAGCGATGCTTTGAGAGGGAGGGCCAAGGCCAGCTGGGCGGGACAGGGCAGGGCGAGATTGGCATGCCCTGCCACAGATCGACCGACCTTTTTGCTTCGGCGCGTAGACAGCTGCGCGTCTGGACGGTCGACACGGGTGCAACCCTAAAAGGTAGCATGTCAGTGCTGCGCGACGCTGTGGAGCGGGATTCGTGCCTGTCGACAGCCGAACCGTTGGTAGGCGGGCCATCATGTCTACGTAGTAGCTAAGCCGCGTAAGGGTGGGACCTAGCTCGGTGCAGTACAGTACGACGACGACGTTGACGCGAGAGCCTGCGCGAGGATGGATCTGAAGGGGACCCCAAGGGTATTTGTTGTTAGCGTATCTTCCCGATCGTGTAACTACGGGCAAGCGTTCCTCGGCGTCAAAAAGGCACACAGCATTTGCTGTCCTAGCCCAAGCCAGTCGGCCAGTCGAGCTACCTGGGTAAACTCAGTGTGAGCTCAACCGAGGGCGACGATGCTTGACTTGTACAGGCAGCCAACCAGTTGCGTGATCATCTTTAGCTAAGTGGTCGATTGGCTGACTGACATGCTCGATTGTGCTATCGTCGCACAAAGTGAAAGTGACATTTTGTAGTTGCATTCGGGACGTTCCAGCTACCAGACCTTGGAGGTGAGGACGGGGGTACAGTACGTTCGCAGTACGTCCTCAGCTCCTGCCATACCCACCTAGGCTCTAGCCCTTTGCTCCGGACGTTCCTTCTCCCACCAACTAATACAACCGCGATTGGTTCGATGGGAACGCACCGCAAGACAACAGGGACGTGCAAAGACTTCAAGCTGTCAACGCCGATTCTTCGCTTCCGTTTGCGATCCTTTCAAATATCACCCATTGTCCGGCACCGATCACGGTACGGATCCGAGCCGATTTCAGGGTCCTAGACCCTGCTGCGCGGCCTTGCGCTGCTAGCATACATACAAGCCTCCCGCGGGCTCAATGCTTGGCACCAAGGCTATTACGGGGTACCGTCTACGATCATTGATATTGTTGCCTTTGAATCCGCACCGGCGTCCGTCTCCCGTTCCCCGGCGCAAGTATATGGATACATAGTATACTCAGCATGCACTATTATCCACCTTTCCGCTGTTCGAAAGATCAACAGGCAGGGTGCAGTGTCCCTACTCCTCATCATCCCGCAGCTGGAGTCCTGGACCAACCCGGGGTCGCAGCTCCTTAGGATCCAAGTCCTGCTACATCCCTGTCAAAGACCGGTCCTGTGTGCGCCGACGACCGATCCGACGCCGACCAACATGACGGACAATTTACTGGACCTGGGATCCCGGAGTCCTGAGCAATGGCTGCCGACCAGGAGGCGACAAGAGTTTCCAGTCCCGTGCTGTGCCACCATAAAGACACCAACCATTCCAACCTACCACATTCAGTGATGCTTTCCCCTCATAGTGGCGTAGAGCATGAAAACTGACGACAACTGCAGCTCGCCAGCTGCTATTTGGATAGCGAGCTGTTAGTCTACACGTACGTGCGGGTGGTGGCGGCATCCCGGGTAGGCCCCTGCTCCAGATCTCGCCGCAAGTATTTGAAATACATCCCGAACAGACAGCGCCGCCGTTTCCAAAACGTCAGCGAGTCCTAGACTTCTTGAGCGCCTGTCGAAAATCTCGAACTCTGGCGGTTTCAGGCTCCATGTCGCGGTCCCGAAGAATGCTTGTCCGTACAGCCCGAACGGGTCGACTCCCAAGGCCCAATGAATGCACCTCCGTTTCCCACCGCAGGGCTTCAGCTCGCCAACTGATGATCGAGCAACGACATCGCAATGCTCATGCTCTTAACCACTGGCCCCAAAACTTCCCCGCTCGAGAATCCATCCACAAAGAGGAGAGATCCGACTTTTGCACCTCGCCATTGCTGTGATAACATCATCACCTGTTCTGCTGTTGCCACTTCAAGGGTCTGGCCTGTCATCACAAGTGTGCCTCCGAAGCGAACATTGCTGGTGCGGATAAGGGATACAAACGGGCACAAGCCAAGCACTCTCTCCACTCTGCAGATCGAAGCACGGGTCTTTGCCCGATCCTTTTGGTGAACCAGGTGTTATGTAGAATGCCACACAGTCTAGTCTACAAGGTGCTTACTTGGTCTTGCCAATGAGTCAGGGGCCATCACGAAGATAGAGTTTCTGTACGGAACCGTTTCCGCTCCGCGGCTTGACCGTGCTCTATCCGCGGTTGGTCCAAGATGAGCGCGCGCGTTGGCGTGTAATATTGATGTCTGACTGTACCGCCATATGTCGTTTTGATCCGCGCTCACACGCGCGCAGACCGCTGTTATACATGCAGTGCTTGTGTCTTTATATATGTGTCTGTACCGGCCAAGTAGAAGCAACATCCATGTTGAAGCCTACGTATAAACCCAACCGACTGATGGGGCGTGGTCATCACGTTGCGCAAGCTTGACTCACTGACTCAAACCCTGGGGCCTCATCTGGTCTCAGTGGCCACTTGCGGAACCTGTCCTCAACAAGACCACGGCCTCACGTGCGCGGCAACTAGGCCACCAGAAAGAGAAAAGGGTTACACACGAGTCTTGATATCCCGTCATTGGCCTCTGACGGTGGCATTTCCCGTTCTATGAATGCTAGCCCGTTTAATGTATTGCACTTTCCCTGAACGACCGTGTGGCCCTTGATGAAAGGTGCCACAGAAGGATTCCCCAGTCTGCTGGTTGAGTCTGGCAGCTTGGTGCCTCGACGACACGCGAGAGACCCAACCCCGGCTGCGGCCAAGCCAGACATAACCCATCGATAACGCTACATGAAAGAAACAACGCCACAACCACCTTCACCCCACCCCACACCTGTGCCAGCCTATGCCGCTGGGGAAAGATGGCTTGTTGTGTGGACGGTGTGTGGATGGTGTATGGATGCAGGGTGCGGGGGTAATAATAGGTGATCCTGTGCTGCCTCGTGCTCGGTGCCGGATTGTAGATCTGCTGTCCGTCTTCCCCATGATGCTATGCGTATTACTCCGTATACATTGCGCCTTTGCATGTGACCATGCATCCTGCATCTGAACGCAGGACGTTTGGTGCTTTTCGCCGTTCGTCGCAGGTTTTCGATCCAACCTATTAATCACAGCTTCCATCCGCTGACCACGTACCTGGGCCATCTCCCTGTCTCTCTCAACACATTGTGAGACACCGCATCCGGGATCTCTGCAGGCTTATGCGCCCGCCGTGCCGTTGCGCGACGGCTCATCTCGCGACCACGTTTCCTCTCTCAACGGCATCTGCAGCCCCTGCCCCGCGCGGCTGCCATCTTGCTCAGCCTTGCAAGCCCAGTATTCGCCTAAACGGAGCTCCGAGTACGTGGCGTAGTCAAAGTCAATGTCCGAAATCGTCGCCTGGATCGACGACCAGATGCCCCAGTAGAAGCCCGGTACGCCACGGAAGGCGTCGACTTCATCCATCAACTTGCGCTCCTCCTCCGCGGCGTCGAGCTGGCATCGTTCCTCCTCGGGTAGGAGCTGGATGTAGGTGCCGATGTACTCGTGGATGAACTCTCGGCGCTGGGAGACTGTGGGGACAGCAGCGTAGTCACAGTCGTATCCTGCCCACTCAGCGAAGTGGTTGGCCACGTCAAAGGCGGCAGGCGATGGCGTGGCATACTCGTAGTCGATGAAACTCACCGTGGCACTTTGGTCCTCCTCACGGTGCATGATGACGTTGGCACATAGGAGGTCGCAATGGGCAAAGACAAGCTGTTTCAACACGTTAGCGCATGTTCTGATCGTCTCAATGCCTTCTCAGCAAACGTAGATCGGCGTCATCACGTGTGCATGAGTGTGATGAGAGCGTATTATCCGTACCCCGTTATGGCCCAGTCCTGGACGTTGGCTGAGCTTCTCGATCAACTCTTCCACCTCGCGCTGTAGCAGCGCCTGCCGCGAACGTTCTTCCTCTGTCCCTGTCGGCAAGGCAAAGATCCACTTCTGCATGGTGGTCCATAGGTTTGGGAAAGGCTTTCCTGGCGCGGCGTTCCGGATGGTCCTCTCGACTTCGTTATCGCCGTACCCATTCTGGAAACCGTTCCGCATCCCGTTCTGTTTCCCGTGGACCGGGGGTTGGCCGAAAATGCAAGGCACCGTCGCGTGCCACTCGGCCAGTCTTCGTGCGATGGCTTTGAGAATGGCTGGTTCCTTGAGATCCTGCATCTGGGCGGGCGTGCCAGGGATGAACCGATACAACATTCCGTTCTCGAAGCGCGCCAGCAACTCGGGCGCCAGCCCATGCCTCATGAGCAGCTCATGGTTGGAGACCTCGCGTTCACGGTCAATCAAGATGTCCGTCCCGCTCCCATAGGCGCGCAGTAACACTGCTTCCTCGTCCACCTGGGCCTTTGTGAGCCCTGGACGTCGGTTCACTGCCTTGAGTAGTGTGTTTGTGATGCCGTCGGTGAAGCGAATGAACTCAATGTTGGAGTCAGTACTTGACCATTCCGGCATGAGCGTTGTGATGAGCTTCAGCGCAGAAGCCTGTGAGTTGGCGCCGTCGAATCTCAGGGGCAGGTAGCGGACACGGCCGAGCCCCTCGCAAGTCGCGGACGGCGACATGGCTTGTGCAATCAACGGCCGACAAGCTTGGTTTGGTGATGTTGGTTGTGATGAGATGCGATGAGACAAGAGGGTAATTTCGACGGCTACTCAGGGGCAACGAGTCATTCAATTCAGGGGTCTGCCGTAGCACGCCAGTGTCTCTGGAATGAAGGAATGAACGCTGTGCCGCTTCGCGAAAACCAATTGTCGTAGCGTATCGATAAAGGCTACTCGGTAGCGTGAGTCTGGTCAGGGACCAAGGTGATGCTGAATGGAGAACAAGGAGGCTCTATCAGGAATGGAGGGTACGACCTGCTTCTAGGTCTAGTGGTTGCAACGATGAGGTCTGAGGCTACGTAAGTCAAGTCAGTGCGTATGGGGCCGACGAAGGAGGCGAGGTTTTTGAGCAAAGTCGGTCGCTAGCTACAGACTGAGCGAGCAGGTGCGGTTGGCTGGTGAGAACAGACTGGACTGGGTTGAGTGTGGCTTGACTCCAGTCCCCTTAACTTGAGTGAGGGTCTTGGAGCGAAGTGGGCCAGCCGCCTGAATGGACCATGACTGGCGGGCGACAGGCGGTTTTGCCATGTGAAAATACGTCCGCGGGGCTCATGCTGTAGAACAAGAAAAGGCATGCTCCGCTATAGCAAAAGTCCCTGATGAGGTGAAGTGCTTTTATTGTCGCTTTGGCTTATCGGTCGTTTATCCCGCCCAACCCACCCTGAGCCACGCCAAGCCTGGTGAGGAGGCAATGGCTGCTGTAATTAATTCAACAAATTATTGTGAACAGCGCAGTGCCCAAGAGGGTAGTTGCATCTGTGTCCATAAAAGACAAGCGAAGCCACGAATACTGGGTAAGAGACGTCAGTCGACCTATGGCGTGTCTTGATAGAGTTACGTCGGCGTTCGGTTGCCGTCCTGCCTAACGATTGCAATTTGTGAATCAATTACACAGCTTCCTACGGAGGACGACTGGAGTGCAGCGTGGAGAGCACGCGACCTGAGTCCAGTCAGCTGGCTCGACTCTGCGGGACAGCTATCCAGGCTAGTTCTCCTGGGAGACTTTACTCCTAAACCCATGACCCTACTGCGAGGTCCAGTCAGGTTCTCCTGCTACCCGACATTTTCCTGGTTGGAGCAGCTTGACCTTTGTCCAAGAGACGCCAGTTCCCGCCCGACAGGTTCCCGAATAAACTGGCTGGAACATCAGCTGGCTACGTTAGGATGAGGGGTCCCAGTCCATCTGCCGCCCGTCCAGTTCGCCGCGTCGCCCATTGGCAAGTGGCAACCCCCGTGCCAAGCTGAGCCAGCAGCTGCATGCAGCCCTCCGGGTGCGTGCACCAGCCACAGCCGGCAAATTACCCACGAACTGAGCCACACCTCCTCTTGCGAGCCGATCCTAACCTAACCTCCCGTAGTTGGCCCTCAGGGCGCGCAACTATGACCTCACAGCAACCCCCACGGTTCGACGTCGCCGTGCACAATCGACAGGGCGACTGGAGAAGCACCCCTCAACCAGTCTGAGCCAGCTCGGTCGCTCATTGGAGCTCGGCGCGTCGCAAGCCTGGAGCGTCATGCCGCAACGCAGTGGTCATGTCCTCCGTCAATAGCGACAACTTTCTCGCTGTCGCGCTCGTCATCAACCGCTCCCGCGACGGGCCGGCCTTTGTCTTCCACTACCCGGCGCAGGTCCAGCACAATGCTACCGACACGGGCGCCGGAGCCGATCTCGAGGACATACTGCTCGAGCGGTTGGTGCAACCCGCAAACCACAACACTTCGGTCGCGAACGAGCAGCTGCCCCGCCAGTGGGACCGTGATGAGCACATTGTGACCGACTCGGGCGCGCAGATTGTGCCCTGGGAGCACGTAGCTGGGTTTCCGGCACGGGACCTGGCTGGCATGTTGACACCTGCGAGGCCTTACCACAAGACTTTGTTCCAGCTATCTCTGGACCCCCTCTACTGTGTCTCTTATCCGATCCACGTGCCTGAGAATGGCAAGTGGAAGAAGCAGAAGAAGTCCGGCAAAGGCAATGATGGGGACAAGGCATCCACTGTAACGGACGATCATGGGGTCTCTAACGAAGCCGACATGTCGTCTGGCAAGCTGTCTGACAACACGAAAGATAAGGAATCGAAGAAGGATGGCGACGAAGACGAAAAGCGAAGCTCCATGACCATGTTCAACCTGGTCTTCATCCTGAGACCAAAGATACACGAGGTGAAGGAGCTAGTGGACTCGCTCTACGTCAACGTGGTGAAGAAGGCCAACAAGGCGTACAAGTACAGCCAGCAGCAGAGCGATTTTATCTGGAAGGAATCGAAGCGAATCCTGGCGGCAAAGGACAAAGCGCGTGAAGAACGTACGAAAATGTACCACCCTAGCCGAGTGCGTAGACTGACAAATTCTCAATAGAAAGGAAGATGAGCAGCCTCTGGAAGGAGATCCTGCAGATCTCGTCGCTCGCAGCCTCCATGCAAGAAATCTACACGGCCGTCTCCCAGAACAAGATTGCGGCTCTGCACCTCGATACACCCCTCGGCATCCTGACCCCGTCTTTCCAGATCCCCGTGCCCTTCTACGTGGCCGACATTCCTCAAGACTCGGGTCGTGACCAGAGCGGCCTTTGGCTCACGACCGCCAACGCTTTCCTTAGCCAAGACACTCTGGAAGAGCCCGGCTTCCTCGACCGCAATTTTGCTCTCCTCCTGATGGACGATGAGAAGAAGATCATCGCGGAGCTCCAATCGGACGCTGATCCGTCCACCGCCTCCATGGTCGAATTCGTCCGGCTGTCCAAGCCGACAATGTCCTTTCACCAGGTCGCCCAGAGCAACATCCTCTCCCTCAGCCAAGTCCGCCGGTTCGCCCAGCACTTTATCTACTGGCGTCGCGCCATTACCATCCCACCCTTACACGCTAGAGACGTGTACATTGTGTCCCCCAACTGCGACCCACGACGTCTCCCGCAGGACAGCGTCGAGTGGCAGCGCCTGTTCCCCGTGGCGCCCCCGTTGCCCAACTTCCTCGGCGAGCTGAGCCAGAGTCCACGCCCGTACAAGCACTTTTGCCCCAGCAAGGCGCATCGCCCCTCGTACCTGCACATGCTTGCCTGGCTCATGCGGCGTGGGTGGGTGACACAGCTCTGCACATATGCCTACGTCGTCGTATGGCCGGAAATCATCTACGAGGTCGAGTACGAAATGGAGGCCGAGGATCTGGCGGCTGCGTCCACTTCGTCGCTGGAGCAGGCGAAGCCCCCGACCATTGTGGAGGAATACGAGCATCCCTTGTCCCCGACATCCACGATTGATACTGCACAGCAGCAGCAGCCGCCGCCGCCGCCGCCGCCTTCATCGCCACCCGCAAATCCGTCATCAACTGAACACGTCGCCGAGCGAGCTCGTCTCGAGCGCATCGCCACCAAGGCGCACCACCGTGCTACGGAGCGAGCCATTACCCATGCCCGCAAGACGCCGCCTCAGCCCACGCCTCATCCATCGCTGAACGACGCACCTCATCTCAAAGGCTTGACGCCGCACATCATTCTAGATGCGAAGAAGGCAACGGGCAAGGAGGCTCGGTACTTGTCTGCCATTGGAAAGAGGTTCACCGACGATCGGGGCAAGCAGGCGTGGCAACTCTTCTGCAAGTACTTTGACGGCCGCTGCGCTTTGGAGAGAGTGGCACTACAGGAGGACATGAAGCGAAAGGAGGTGTGGAATCTTTTGACGAACATGACTGAGTATGTGTTATGCACAAGGCACTGGTGAAAGTAAGAGTGGAATAAGATTCATGCGTCAACAGAGCGCGAGAGCGCCCAGTACCAAGTGAAATCATGTGATACGAAAGAGCCCATTTGCAACGTAGAACTGAGTCTGATGCCAGCAGAACCGGCGAGCCATGACGTTCGTTGTTTGAAAAGAGAAAAACAAGACAACAGAAAGCATACCCCGTATCACGGTACATTCACCGCCACCGGGCAAGCAGGGACGTTGATGCCTTGCTCCCGAAGACCAAACTTGCGACGTATCCCAAATAGTCTCCCCATCTCAATGAAGCCAAACAAACAGCCAAACAAACAGCCAAACACGCAAACAAGTCAAGAAAAGTGAGGTCTCTCCCCTGAAGAGCCTCGAGGTATCGCAGAGGGGGCTGGGAAAACAAGGGAAATGAAAAATGATAAAGGCAGCAAGACCCCAGTACAACATGCAAGACAAAAACCAAAAGTCAAAAGCGCTGTATATATGTGGCCATGTGTATGATTCCGTGTGAGATGCAGAGTCGCCCCACCAATGAGCCGAGCAAGTTGTGTTCCGGTAACGCCATAACCTGTAGTACGAAGTAGAAAAATTGTAATCACCATGCAGAGGCGACAGCCTACTTGGGGCGGCATTAAGAGGGTGCCGATAGGCTGAAATTGTAGCCATGACTGTGGAAACCTGACGATGCGTGCGATGTCGAGTCCTAGTTGAGATCCATGCCGTAGTCGTCGTCATCTTTGAAGTCAATGGGGGCGTGTCCGGTTCCGTTGTCGTCCGGATCATGCCAGAATTGGTTGGTGTCATCGTCGATGATGGCAGAGCTGCTGTGGTGCGGAGGGGTGACGCCCACCGTATCAAGACTGGTAGGGGGTACATCTGCATTCGCCGCGTTGCCGCGGTAGTCTGTGATGCTTGGCACTCGTAGACCCGACCCAGCTGTGCGTGTGTAGGAGAAGTTGCCAGCATCATTCTTGGACATGGCCTCTATCAGCTCAGATTGCATGCGCCGCTCGTCATCCGTCACCTCGAATGGGTAAGGGTGGCCTAGCTCGTTCAACGTCTGCATGAGCTCCTCCTGCTGTTGAAGCTTGAGGTGCAGCATCCACATGAGATCGCGAGTCCAGCTCACGGCTCCATTCAGAATGTCGCCTTTGTTAGGCCCCTTATCCTTGTCCTCGATGGGCAGGCCTGTCGTAATATTCCCAGCGTTGCTTCCGGTTGCGCGGCGAGCACCGGGCCCAGCGAGGCCCGAGGTGGCCGAGGAAGGGTTGGACATGCCGGTGAGCGTGGGAGAGAGCGGCGTACCATTTTGAATCAGCTTCCGGATCTTCTCATCCTCCAAGCGGTGCATGGGGACCAATTTGCTGAGGTCTTGGATGCGCTCGTTGATGTTGTCACGGCGACGTCGTTCGACGAGGTTGTGAGACTCGCGCCGTCGTTTGCGCTTCGCCTCTTGGGACGAGACGGCGGTGGAGCCTGACCCGTTTGTGTTTCCCAACTTGGCTGGCATAGATGTGCCAGCTTTGCCCATGACCTCTTCGATGGGAGGCACCATGGTGCCTTGCAGGGGTGAGGCAAACCCTGAATTGTACGACGCCGGATAGCTGCCGGTGGGTGTGTTCAGCCACTGGCCTGAAGGAGACTTCTCGTGCGTACGGATCGATTGCGGTCCAAAGTTGGGCGAGTCGTTCGACCCTAGAGACAAGCTGTGCATAGCGTTTGTCTTGGGTGTCATGGGGCTTCGGGCGGTATTGGACGGCTTGCGCTGCATCTGCTGGGACATGCGTGCCCTCGTGCGGGCGTTCATGTAGTTCTGGTCGTTGCCGTCCACGTCATTAGCGAACATGGGAGAGTGCATCCCCTGCATGTGTCGGAAGTTGCCAGTGTAGCCTGCGGTATATGGGCTAGGCATCGGGTCGCCATCGGGCGTACTAGAGAAGCCGTTGAGCGGGTTTGAGTCCAGGCGCAAGCCCGAGTTACGCTGGTGGGCTTGATACGCGTCCTGGGAGAAGCCCATGTTCATGCCCGAAAAGTCCTGGCCATTATTTTGCACGGCTCCCTGGTCGCCGCCTAATCCGTCAAGAAGATCCTCATCGGCAAGAAACGCGCTTGAGCTGCCGTTGCCACCATTGTTGTTGGCGTGCGAGCTAAAGTTGTCATTGCTGAAGTTTGGGTTGTATGAACCTCCCATGGACAGGTTGTTGGGGTCGATGGCGCCCCCATTTGGGGCAGTACCAAAATGCGAGAACCCGTGCTGCGCCATCGTGAAACGTCAAAAGCCTTAATGTAGACGGAGGTGGGCAATGGAGTCGTGTAGCAAGTGGGCGATGACCACTGGATAAACGCACCGTTCGTCGGGCGCTACGGCAAGTTGCAGATAGCGTTTCGCACAATAGCTCGGGAGATATCACTAGACAACTGGTCAGCGGCGGGGTCTATGCAGTCGCGTTCGCTTGAAGTTGGCTTTGGCATTGTTTCAGTAGGAAAAAATAGCCGCATGCTGTAGCACAAGTGCGTCATACGTTGCTTGGTGAAAGGAGTTGGACGGCGGCCAGGATAAGGGCTCTGAGGTTTGGCGCAAAGGTGGCAAACTGACCTGCTGCGCGTGCTGATACAATACTTATTGTAGACCTTACAACGAGGCCATGCACGATGGAGATACTTGAAGTAGTCTGTCGCGCGCGCGATGCGAACTTGTCAAGCTGCTGGTAGCTTGATACGATAATAGGGAAGAATGATAGATGCGACCTCGGAGTGGAGGGGTTCCAGCTTCGAGATGTATGTCGGTGGGTGAAGGGAAATGGACCACTCGGCTGGCTGTGACTGGCCTGGTGTGCTTTCTCTAGGGGGGCAGCTGTCGTGCTGGTACTAAGCTCTTTCGCTGCTAGCGGAGGCCGGGTGTCGGCTAGGGCCACACTCCCAAGGCGCGAGTTCTTGGAAGAATCAGGTAGCGGTGAGGTGATGCACGAGTCGTAGGCGGTTGTTGCGACTCTAGCGGGGAGGCGCTCGGTTGTGGAATGTGGTAATTAATAGGCCAGCAAGATGAACGGACGGGGGAACTGCGGATCGTTCATTAGCACCTTGTCCAAAGATAATGATCTGGCCTGCAGTGAGACAGCTTCAGTGAAGTCGGTGCCAATGGATCAGACTTGGCGCTTTGCGGGCTAGCGCGGCTCAGTCCGCATACGCGACTGGAGGTGCGTAAAGGGACTGGGCGGGGAAGACTGGATTTTGCAGGACTCTGGGTGATAGCTTTCAGCCGTCCTTGACGACAATCAAGAGGGAGGGGGGCCGAGTAGCAAGCCAGGCATTATTGGAGCTCGCCGACTTCTTGGACAGTCCTCGGCGTACAGCACCAGATGCACGATGCCCAAAGTGGCCAGCGCCCAGTGGGCAGACAGCAGGGCACAGAGGGGAGGGAATGGCAACACGAGTGAATGGAACGACTCACCTTCAATGATGGCGTCAACGTCTGGCTGCCTCGCCTCGTAGCTTGGAATCCGGAGGATACAAACGCTGCCAAATGCGACAGGTCGAACCTCGCCGACCGACAGAATGACAGAAGCAGGTTGCACCGGTATGCCAGGAGCAGCCGTGTAGCCAAGGAACTCCTAGGACGGATTGCAAGTCGATATGACAACCCTCATGCAAGTCTCAATAGTGGAAGCCGGTATTGGACACAGGTCTTGAGCGTGGTCTCAGCTTAGTTTGGTGTTGGTTGGAGGGTCTCTGTGTCGTATCCGAACAGAGGCGTCGCAGATCGTCGCGGGCGCAATGTAGGTGTAGTTGAAGTACGCTCTGTGGGGTCGCTGCTGACGCTGCGTCTTCTTTGATGAGAGAAATCTGCAATGTCGCACCGGTATCATGGAAAATGAAGATGTTGATGATGAAAAGAGGAGAGCGAAAGCTGGGTATGAACCAGGCAGACTAACGTGTCCACTGGTGCCCGGCTTCAATAGGTAGGTAGTGATCCGAAGGCAGCGACGAGGCAAGATGAGGCGAAGCAGTACCTTATGTAAGCGGCGCACAATGTGTACGTCCGTTTGACGCGGCCTAAATGGTTTCAGAAGCAGTAGCTTCAACCTTTGATAATAGCTGATGACCTTGTATTGTTCGGAAACGGAATCCAGCAGTCTCACAACGATACTGGGATGATCAAGAGGCGGATAGGCGGTGAGAGTGTCGCCGTCTCCGTCAGATGAGAGTGGGTGTGCAGCTCTTCGACGTGGAAGCGCTTGACAATGTTGGTTGCGACTGAAACTTGTTGTTCGGTTGAGTGTTCTAGCGTCGCAAAATTATCTCACAGATTGCGGAACAATGAAATCAACGAAACGTTGTGAAGACGGACTGTACGGGAGCATGCTCTTCATATATAGATCTATACGTGACCTGGGATGGCTATTAATATGCACTTCCGGCCTCATCTGTCCTCTACTCTCGATACACCATGGACGCCACCCTTCTTCGTCTTCTGACTTGCCATATAGACAATCCTGCAAGGCTATGGTCGCATCGCCCTGCCCACCTTATCACGCTCTCACCTCCACCATCACTTACACTTGGAGGGGGGGCGTCCTTCAGCTTCAACGTGACTCGGCAACTAAGACACCCAAGGCCTTCGACGCTGCTTTATCCTGCACAAAGACCGGGCTACTCACAGGCAATCGTCCACTTTCCCATCTTCTTCCATCGTAAATACCGGTCACGCGTCAAGGCTGCACGTCTCATCAGCCTTGCTCATGAGGCCGCGCAGGCTCAGCGACTGGATTGGGCGCGTGAACATGAATGACAGTGGCTTCGAATGCGCGTCCATGGCTCAGTCCTACGGAGGTTGGGTTGCAAGCCTTGTCTCTCTCTGCTCCAGCGACTACATGAAGCTCGGGCTAAAGCATCCGCACCCACCCAGTATGCGCCTTGCACCGCTTCCTCTTGGACGCCTCGCCACCCCTGTCGTATCAGAAGGCTAGCCTCGCATGATGATGCACGCAAGCACTGGTCCTAATCGTCAGCGCCTAGAGAGTGTTGCGTTGCAGCAGCTCTGGCGTCGACGAATGCGCAGGTTCATGCATGATTCCCGTCGACCCCGCGATGCCGCACTCACGGTGATCGTCACGATCGCCACCCGGTTGGCACAGTCGAGACTTGAGACAGCAGTAGCCGCAACGTGCGCCGGACGTGAGCTGAAAACCTAGAGTCGACTGGTCTTGCGTACGCGTTCATTGTCGACATGATGAGAGATCAGGAATGGGCATCCGCTTTGGATAGACTGGTATGCATTCAAAGGCCAGTGGGGCCGCAGGGGCGTCCGGCCCGTCCAGTCAGTTCAGCAGCAAGTGAGCAACCTCCTGCCAGCCCACTCTTGAGTCTTCAGCGGTGCAAGGTGCCACCTGCCAGGCTGCTGGCCAATAAAATGCACGCATCTAATCGATACGCACCCGCCTGGGGATCACTCTCGCCAACCTCACTTGTCTTGACTTGTTGGAGCTACCGTCAACTCGACCTTCAGCCTTCCACACCACACCACACCTCCGCCTCCTCCTCAGCGTGTCCCAAGACCAGACCCTCTGCGCGAGACACCTCCGTCGTCCCCCCAAACGCTCGGCAAGCTCCACCTGGGTTTAGGTTGGTCGCATCGTCGCGACCATCCGTGCTTCGCATTACCTCACGAGTCATCGCGGAGGCGACCATCACCGCCATTTCTGCGGCCTCAGCCCGCCTTTCTTTGCGGTACGCGCGGTCTCGTCCCGTACCCTCTTTCCTAGCTTCCCTGCTCGCGCCCGTGTTAGCCCCAGGTTGGACTGTTGGTGGCGAAACTTCGAGCTGCTGCCTCGCTGCACATTGGTAGGCATCTATCTCCCTGACTGTTACCTATTGCGTGGACACGAGGCTTATTGTGAAGTTGGCTGCTCACTGATTTGACCCTGGTTCCCCCACCCTTCCCCAGAGGCGTCCCTTCTTTCCTTCTGTGCTTGCGACTGACCACATCTTCAGTAGTGGAGCTTCCTCTCCGACCCGAGCCAAACTGCGCCGATCTACCACTCAACGTTGTCGCTAAACTTTCCGAAATAACACAATTGCAACTGTCGCCATGGCGCAACAGTCGCTCCGGGACTCGTTTAACTCCCTAGGATGGAGTCGCCGCGATGAACCGGTGACCACAGCACCACAGACAGGGCTTCTGTCTTCCATCAGGAACATGAATCCCTTCCAAGGGTCCGGCTATGTTCGCTTGCCGACCGCCGAAAATCAAGGGGCACCCCTCCCAGCGGCTTCGAGACGAGAGGAGGAAGAAGGCTGGTTTGTCCGTGAGTCTACTCTTTGCATTCAAGCGCAGTTAGGCCCCTGCGTCGGGAGTGTGTGCATTGCGTCTAGAGCCACGCTTCCGATGCTGCATGTGATACCCTTCGATGCGCCAATGCACGATACGAAGCTTGCTGACTGGGTATCCTCACAGTGAGCAGATGGGACCGTTTGATGGTCTTTGCGGCATGCAACCTCGCCGCCGTAGCATGTTTCGTCATATGTTTTACCTTGTTTCCGGTTCTGTCGCTGAGACCGCGCAAGTTCGTCATTCTGTAAGTGCTATCAGCTACCATGGGATTTCCTTAGCGCCTTTGACTTTCCCATGATACCCATGTGATCGCCACGCATGACACACACACTGCCCCCCAACCAAGTGCCGTGACACCAGCTTCCCAGTTTCTGCCTTCATCCCCCAGTCGTCGTTGCTGAAAGCCCTCCCTGTCCGGAGCTAATGTTGCGTAGGTGGTCCGTCGGCTCTGTCATGTTCTTGGCATCATTTGCTGCTGTTATGGGCCCTATGAACTATGTTTATCATCTTCTGTCGACGCCCAGGCTACCCTTCACCGCTGGATACTTTGGCTCCATCTGCCTGACGTTGGTCTTTGCTATCAAGGTATCGTTGCGCCGTCAGAATGTCAATGACTACAGTGGGCTAACGAACTCTAGCTTCAAAGCACGATCCTGACGCTTTTCGCGGCCATTGTACAGCTTGCGTGCCTGGTGTGGTACTTAGTCAGCTACTTTCCCATGGGCTCGACTGGCCTGCGCTTCGCCACTACCTATGGCGCCCGCCAGGCTGCGTCATGGATGGGTTGATACATCAGGCGCAGCCTTGCATGTTGATTTCTGAGATGTTCTTGTACAATAAGCGTGTGTACTACAAAGACTGCGTGAAAATGACAGACGGGGTTGCTCTGTGTGTCCCGTGGTGGGCTGTAATACGACCCTGAACTTGGCCTA